ACTCGTTTTGTGATCTTTTACCAGCAGATAGACATCAGGAGCGTTCAGATAACTGGTGAGGGTGCTTTTGTGACCGCGTATCACTGCTGAAGCTGAGCATCAGCCATTCTTTCATTTTTTTTTTCAGCTCCACCACCACTTTTCCTGTTCTACTAAACCTCAGTATTTCCCAGCCCTGGATCTTTGCCCATTTTAATTTCATACGCTGCACAAACCTCAAAGCCTGAGTACATTATGAAGATATTTTCCCTCACATCAGTACTAGCATCAGCATTGCTAATAGCTGTGGTTTTCCTTCCCATTGGACTCTCAGACTTCTGAAGCTGTAAAAGAAGAGATAGTCTACTTGTCTAGAAGGGGATTATTGTTCCTAAATTAGTTACCATTTCCAAGGTTTAACTATAAAGAGAGGCGAGGTTTACACTGGCATATGAATGTACACCTCACTGCTGTACATGCATTTCTTCTGCAAACCAGGATCCTCTTAGGTATGTCCAGTCCGGAGGCGGGTGCCCTCCAGAGCAACCGCAGTCCTTCCCAACCCATGGCCTGCTTCAGTGCCTGACAGTCCCACACTTCTGAGAATCCTTTGTTCCTCGGATTAGTTCCTCATCCAAAAGGCAATTTTGTTTGTTCCCCACTACAAATCACGTTTTTTTCCAGATCCTCCTCTACCAAAGTCTATGCTCTTCGCTGTTCAGCTGATCACTTACAAAAATATACATGGCAACCAATTCTGAAGTCCTTTCTCCACTCTTAGACAGCAGTTGGGGTAGGGAACATTCATCCAACCCTCAAGTGGACCCTGTTGACCTCTTACCCCCCCCTACACCAGCAGCAGAGACAAGCCCAAGCCTCATCTGCCTTGGCGAGCTGTGGAACCAAGCACGTGAGGAAGCACAGCACACCTGTCCGTACACAACTTGTCTTGGGTCCGTAAGAAACGGCACTAGGACCCGTACCTGAACTAACATCCCCTCTGACAGTATACATCCCCTCCTCCGTCTGGTGTTACTCAGATTTCCTCCAGCTCACAAACCTCGGCACTGCCGGCCACTGTTTTGTGGCAAGATTTGCTCTTCTCAGCGCTTCAGTAGGATCGAATCTTGCTCCTCTCCTGAGAAGCCTGCCTCTGCTGCCTGAGGCTTTTTTTTTTTTTTTTTGAACCACAGGCTCCACCAGTGTCTCCAAAAAAAAAAAAAAAAAAAAAAAAAAAATGCACCAACACCCAGCTGCGAAAGCCCTGGGGAGTCCATGCTAAATCACCCCCACCCAAAAGAGCTTAAGCACATATTTTTCTCAGCTTCACTTTGTGAATCCTACAGATCAACTCTTCAAGGACACGCAACACGAACAGAAGAGACAGGACTTCTGAAGTGTTTCTAAATTCATTATGTATTAGCTTTATTTCAAAGTAATCCACGTATCTAGACACCCTAAGCGTACCTGTTTACTATTCCCTGTCCAGCTGTTTTGCATCTCTGAAGGGTTTGGAGCATATGACAAATAACCCTGGGGAGCAGGAAAATTCGCTGGCCCAGAGTGCGGCTCTACAGCTTGACCTGCCTCTAACAGCTTCCCTGTGAACTGCCTGGGTGCTTGGGGGTCCAGCCTCCCTGTCTTGTTATTCCTTGACCAAAGGTGACCGACCACCTAGACAGCTCCTTTCGAAGACTAAACAAGGACTGACGGAGAGCACCCACCAAAGATCGGTTGCCAGCCGTCGCAGTTTAAGTTTAATCATTTCCTATGCTTGCTGCCACAACAGCTGTTCTTGGAATTTCACTTCAAAACGAAAAGGCAAGTAAGACTTTAAAGCAAAGGTAGGTTTTAAAAATCAAACGGAATTTGCAGCCTCAGGTACACATTGCTCACAAGCTCAATTAATTCATGAGGCATACATACATTTTTTTACGGTACCTCACTACAGCTTTAGACAAGCAAATAGCTAGATGCCGTTAACAGAAAAAACGAAGCGTGACAGAAGCTTTGTTTCAACTGCCCCTGTTGCAAATTGAAAGTAAAAAACCAGTAGGGCTGGAGCATCTACGTCCATCGCCACTTTGGATCCTGTTCCAAAAGGATCCATTCGGACTAGATCTTCCACATGGGGGAAAGGGATCAAGAACATCAAGGTCTGACACCTTTACATATCCATTATTTGTCATTCATTTTTCTTCTGCCAACTAGCTAGATTTAATCCTGATTACAGTTAATGAAACAACAGCTAATGTAACATCAAAGACGGTTCTCAGCTTTGAAGCCTTGATTCTAGTTTTAGTAGCCCTAACAATCTAGTACTAAAACTTACTCCACAAACTGTGCTTTCCCAAGAGAAGAAACAGCATCCTGACGTAGAGAATTTTTTACCCAAGAGAGGGTTGAAAAAGGGGACCAACAGGACTGAAGGTTATTTTTAAACGCCCTCCTTTAATACAGTTTATGATGGCTATTTACTAGCCAAGCTTAGGAGGTCAGGAAATCACACATTTGTATTTTCTTAATAGTAATAAACTTTCAGACCAGATGCAATTTAATTCACTGAGCAGGTCCTTCTAGAAGCACTTTCCAATACAGCTGGCGTGTTCCTTGCTGTATGTGGAGTTCTTCTCACGAAGCCAGTACCTCACTGACTCTCCAGAGCTAGTATTGAGTCTTCAGCGTCCTCCAAATCAGGTTATAGTTAAACTTGTTTTGGTAAAAGGAACAGAACTTCATAGTCAAGTAAAACACTCTGTGGGTGGAGTATGGTGAAATCCTCTATTTCACAATATTTTAACTCAAAACCCAGATGCAGTAAAATTTCAGTTTGCAATGCTAAAAAAAAAAAAAAAGCGGTAACCGCAACGAAGTATGACAAATTTGAAGGTTAAAACAAAACACAGTTCACTGTGCCAACAATTCGGAGCTGCAGATGATTATCAAACCCCCCAACTTCACACCCTCCCACTTCAATGTGAAAAGTAAAGTTGGACACAAGAAAATAAAACGCTCAGTGAAGTAGGGTAGTTGTGATTTATATGGTTTTTACGGTGTAAATTACTTTAACGCTATTACTCCTAAACATCTAAGCTGACTACTTTGATAGCACCCAAGAACCTTCTAAGGCAGATATCCATACTTACTTTACGCATTTAAATCAGGCACCCCAGCCAACAGCCTAGGCGCTCTACCAGAGAGCCACTCAGACCCCCAGATTCAGACTTCACCCCTCCCTGCTGATTACACAGGGAGACTGAAGTTAAAACTATTTACGCTGCTTTGCCTGCCATCAGTGTCAAGGAGGCTAAGTTCTGATGAAGCACAGTGTCCCAAATAAGAATAAAACACCACAGCTCTCACCACCTGCCAGATCTGTGTAACAGCATCTGGAAGCCAAAGGACTGTGCAAGACAGTGAAGCACAGAATTCCTGTTGCAGAGAGCTTACCACCTAGATAGGAAACACGCACAAAAGGAAGAGGGAAATACACAGAGATGATGCTCCACTATCAATTCTCACAGCTTAAAAGCGCAAGAGTTCAGGCATTTGACGTTGTTCTCGAAGCCTCAGCCCTGGAACAACTTCTAAATGAAACTGGGTTATCCTTTGGAGGGGGAAGGGTTCGGCAATGTCAGCTTGGTGCATCCAAGCTGCTAAAAGTCAACTCAAAAATAATTTTTAGGCTCTGGCATTTACATCAGTTACCTCATTTTTGATCATTTGGCTTAAACTGGGTTATCCTTTGGAGGGGGAAGGGTTTGGCAATGTCAGCTCGGTGCATCCAAGCTGCTAAAAGGCAACTCAAAAATAATTTTTAGGCTCCCGGCATTTACATCGGTTACCTCATTTTTGATCATTTGGCTCTGGCAGTACTGCAGAAATCAAGCTCAGGCAGGGCTAGTGAACAGGAGAGAGATCAGAACCCAAGCACGTGGAATCCCAGTCCAAACTTAAGGCAACAGTTACACACAGAGTTTTTCCAGCTTCACAATACAGACAAGCAGCGCTGGCTACCCACACTCAGAAGTATCTCCAGTTGCGTACTCCCCGCTTGGTAAGCATTTTATTTAACCAAGCAGCCTCATGGAAAAAAAATAATTCACTTTTCGTTCGTATTCTGGACATCAGTACTCTGAGCGGCAGAAGAGAAGAGGGACGAAGTCACATTCCTCACGTACCAGAGGCACTGCGCACTGAGGTGCTTGAGCAGGCACTGGTCAGATGTTGAAGAAGAGCAGAACAGCAGTGGGGTAAGTCACAAAGGGGCTGGATTAAGGAACAGGTAGTAGGTTAAAGTTACTCAAGAACTTACCAAAGGCATTTAAATGAAATACATGCAAGTAAAAATTTTGAATGCATCTAAGTCCCCCTGTTCCGCTAAGCTGTGGCTGAAACAGTAATGGCAGGAGGGGAATATTTTAGTGGTACTAAGAAAAAGTCTTCTACAGAGACCGAGATGGCCTTGCACACAGGCGGCACCACAGGTCCACAGATAACATCTGCAGCGCCCTTATACGCTACGTGTAGGTGTGCACCAAAAGAAGGGTACGGTCAAGGCTACCACCATGCTCAAGGCAAAGAAAGTAGCATCGCCGTAACTGAAAGAAGAGTTACGTTCTTTCTTGGAAATCCACAGCGAGGAGACTACAGAGTTAGGTCACCCAACTGATTCAAGCTGCAACCTGTCATAAATGCAATGGAGTCTTTCACCCAGAAAATTCACCCTTAGATATGGTGAGGGTAAATATCTGAGCTAGCAGGATGTAGTTTGAATGTGGCAGGAAAAAATAAACCAACTCCTTCAATAAACTCTCTCTGAAGTAGAAGCCTGTATCACTAAAACACACACAGATCCAGAAGCTCCACGGCAGCTGTGCAAGAAGTGTTTTTAACACCTAAACTACAGCTTTCCAGTCACAACATGCAGGACACAGGTGCCATTTACTTGGTGGGTTAGAATGATTCCTAACCTTCAACAGAAAATACAGACGACAATTAATAAAAAACCACCACCATCATGAGAATTAAAACTTTTATTAGTGTATTCACATATTAGGCAAATGCAACACGCATGAAGCTTATTTCTTAGGTTCACAAGTTCTACCAATACATTAGTCTACTGGTAAAACTAGCACAAACTGGTAACTGCTTTGCCAATTTTCTAAAGGTGTCTGGCCCACTTTTTCAAGGCTTGATTTTTGGTATTGCTTCTATGCCCTAGTCATTATGGCATAAAAATATCCATCACTACCATCAATTCAGTCAACTGATTAAAAGCTGTAACACTGGCCACATTTTTGATCTCAAAGCTAAGTTATCACTAGCTGTACTTACAAAGTACAGTACTAGTGTAATGGATGAAACAATGGGAAAAACAGACAAAGGCAATCCTGCTACTGCCACAATAACAAAAGAATGACAGACAGCTAGATCACAAGATTGTTAGTAAGATGTATATTTTTCAAGTCAGAATAACCCTTCTATACAGTTCCCCAACCCTTCCCCAACCCAGACTTATTTGTAGAATATATTTCAGAATATTTTTAATATGGTGCAGCCTGTAGTGTCCAAGGGTTCACAATAACATGCACTGTCACGAAGAACCTAGAAGTCCTCCTTCGCTGGTCATACCTCAGCAACCACTATCCTAGAGGTTTTGCAGAAGCAACTACTTTTAATAACAAGGCCCATTATGACGTAATGAATGCGTATGATCTGGTATGTAAGTAAGCTATACAAAGCCACTCAGATCAGAAATTTAAATTCTGTTACTGAAATATGTTAAGAAGCTGCATCTATTTTAAAACCTATACGAAAGAGTCTAGTTTACCCTGGGAAAGGATTTTTCAAGGTATTTGGCTCCAAAAACTAAACCCCACGATTTTTAGTGACATCCGTTTAATGAAAAAAATACAGACGTAAAGGGTAAGCCAATAACCTTGTGTACTTAATTCCATATCCAATGCTACGGTAAATTCTCATTCCATGAGAAAAAAATGCCGATTTCAACGATTCAAGGTACAAAAAAGTCCCAAATTACATCAGTCCTAGCAATACTGCTGGCAACAGATGCATCAACTCAGATGGGTAGGGAAAAGTAGACTCCTAGTGTGATGGATACTCAGAATTTATCATATGAATTCATTTTAGGCCCCATTAAGCATATAAAGTGTCTTAAGACTTCGCAGATGAATCTCAAGACATTTCTTTCCCTTCCAATGGAGGGATTTTCTTTTTCTTTAAGAAGGCAGCAAAAAGTTAAGCTTTTCTACAAGGAAAGTCTGCTTTTTATGTTTAGGACAACTTGAAAACCTGCTTATATAAAAAAATATAAAAGAATAAAGGAGTAGAGTCTTGGAATTTTATGAGAGATTTGCCCCAATCAAGAAAACAAACAACTACTTATGGGAACTAAAATGTAGAACAGCACAATACTGTGATATCTGAGATCATGATACATTACCTGTACATACACTTAGCTACTCATGTTATTGATAAACCATTAGGACACTCAATTATATACCCAATAAAAACACCATTAAGAGTCTTTAGAACTGTCCCTTCTTCTTTCTGAAGAAGGCATTTCTATACACTAAATTTTCATCTAGTATCAGAGTATAGGAAACAGAATCCACAAGGTGCTTTAATTGATGAGACCTCAAGTGCTGTTTTTCTTTTTTTTTTTTTTTTTAAAAACCTTTTGGGATAGTAAACAGTTCATGGGGACCACACACAAATACTACGACAGACGAGCTGTTATATTAAGTCTGTTGATTGGACTGGATATTTAGCCCACTGGTAATGGAGGAAGGAGCTTTACGACATGCTGGAGCAGCGTACTGAAGGGGAGCCCATCTGAGTCAATACTTTGTCCAACCATTGTAGAGGTCCATTCAGATGAAGCTCAATCCAGCAAGGAGTGCTTGTTACTGTTTGCCGCCTAGAAAACAAAGAACAGCAAAGTCAGAAAGCAGCTTTGGCTGCCATAAAGTTCTCCATCAGATGATCAGATACGTTTCCATCCATACTTACTCCACAGGAAGACAAAAATCAGCAACCATTACCGTAACTGTTACCAAGCTTTTTTCTAGACTGTCTCTGAAGAAAAAACAAAACAAAAAACCCCGAACGCCCCACATTTGTAAGACCCATCAATAATTACATTCTTGTCCATAATACCTCGAGAACGTTCAGCCCTGGAGAATAAGACAAGAACTGCAGCAGCGCACCGAGAGCCTTACTGCTAAGAAGAAATTAAAAGCTGAAGGTTGCCCAACCAACATGTTGTTCACATCACAGATGGCTGTGTGCAGCTACATCTCAACCTTCAAAGAGCCTGCATGCGTAACTGGGTTTAAACTTTGTAGACAACTACTGAGAAATATGGAATGGGGACGCTTGGCTCCACGCTATCAGCGTGGCCAAACAGCACAAGACTATGGTGACCATCAAGCTCTGGCTTTCTGGAGCAATCGACAAGACAAATGTATAAGGAAACAGCTAGATGTTGTCAGAAACACTATGTCAAAACACTGTGTGTGGTTACGCTATGCTTGCTAACTGATGTTATCTCAAAAGGAACACCAAACTTTATCTCCGATGTCCTGTAATCCTACGCTTCTATATCTTTTGTACTGTAACAGCCTCACACAAACAATTTAAGGAAAAATTGTGTTTCCCTTGTCTTCTATATAAACTTGCCTATAATTTTCCACGGTAGAAGCCCTTAATTAAACACCATATAGAAAGCCCCAGTAAAGCTGAAGGGCTGACAACCATAAAAGCTTCATTCCCTCTCACATATAACCTTGTTTCAGAGACCTGTTATTCAAAAATCTTTCTTCTCATCTCCAAAGTAAAGAAATCAGTGTTGGACATACTCTGTCTGAGAAATCCTGCTATTTCACTGCACGCACTCCAGGCATAGGAGTTTTCCCAAACTAGACTGGCAAGACTACTGTTGCTAAGCCAGTTTTTCCTAGTAATTCTAGCTATCCCAAAGTCAAAGCAAGGAGGCATTAAGATTCAAAGGCAGCAGATTAGTCAGGCATAAACCCAGCTCCTTCATTTTTACTATCAGCACTGCCACCCTTCACTTCAAGGAAATCTGGTTATAAAGAGAGGAATTGAAAAGGCAGAAAGACTAAGCCAGTGCAAGGACGGATTTCAAAAGTTGTCTGTGGTTTCACATTTTCTAGGAGAAGAAAGTGGCTGGGGACTGTGTTCTCTCAGCACTCTAAAAAACATTGTCATCTCAGCCCTGAATGCCTATGCCAAAACAAAGTGATCCAACAGAAGAACAATCTAAACCACAGGAAATATAGTTCCATTTAGTCTCAAATCCTCTCCTAAAGAAGGAAGTTCATTATTTCTCCGCTGTCAACTCCCCTACAACGTGTTCCACCACACACTTCCTCAAAATTTTATAACTGGTTCTGTTCAACAACCCTGGCTTTGCACTACACTGGCAAAAGTTGATAAAATAGTGACAGTCACTTAGCAGCCACCTCAGCCTCTTCTACCCATGGATTTCCAGCTCACGGATCACTAAGTCTCTTTGCTGTAATTACCTCTACTTAACTTTCTTCAGAGGATGATCCTGGAACTGGATAGTTCCTGCGCTAACATGAACACTTGTCTGCTCACCTGAACTTCTCCCACCATCCTCAACTCAAGCCAACATGTGTCAAGCAAAAAGCTTTATGTTCATTTGTCTACCAAGCGTAGAAAATCTACCACCCTGCCATATCTGCACGTTTATGCACATCTATCATATGCCTACAATGTTTTGGCTTTGCCAAAGCCTGTTCTATGAGAAATATTTTTGCCGTAATAACGAAGCACAGAAGTTTAACAAGAATGATGGAGTCTACAGTGCTTCCTGGTCTATTTTGGACAATTCAGACTACATTCATTTCAGTTAAAAGGTTGTGTTTGCAGGAGCAACCTCTTCTTGCTTTAATCACAACTGCAGCACAACTTCCAACTTTCGCGCATCAATAATTTATTAGCACCATCTTAAACAAAGACACAAAGAAACTAGTTCAGCATTACGTCAGCTACCAGTTTCTGTGCCGTTCTGGCAGTGCTTCCACTGCAGCTTGTTCAACCTTACGATCTCTGAATGGTTTACAGACTACTTACAACCAACATCTTCCCTTCTTCGAAATAACTTTACCAAAAGCCTCCCCGCTGTTTTAACCCAGAACACACACACACTCACTTCAAGTTGTCTCCATATAATCTGATTGAGCCTTTCTTCTGTTCCGATTTGAATGTTGTATTTAATTATGCATAAGTGTATACATACTCCTTTTGAGCCAAATTCAACAGTTCTTTAAACTTGAGCCAGATTTTTTTTCTTGTGTACCTCTTGCTAAACAAAGAGGTACCAATTTATTCCATTACTCAAATTTCTCATTTCGTCTAATTAGGCTTTTAAAAAATTGCCTTCATTTAGATGAGAAGCCTCCCCCACACACTGAAACTGCTATTTACATGCATATATTTCAAGAGCAGATAAAAGAATCAAACCCCCATGTGGAACCTACATGCCATTATTCAACTTCAGAAATGATATGGATTTTAAAAAAATCTGTAGGTATTGCAATAGGGTATTGATATGTCAGACTTCATTCTTTCCGTGGACAGTTTCTAGAGAGGTTTAAGGGATTTGTTTAAAACCACATCCCTAGCTCTCCAAAATAATGAAATCTTCAATAATGCTCAGTTAGAAGTCAATTCCTTTTCTTCCCAAATTCCCACACTACATTAAAAACAGGCACTGTCCTCAACTACAGCTCTTAATTTGTGCTAATAGACAATACAACTGGAATCTATTCAGAAGCAGATAAAAGACATTTTTTCCACTGAAACATTTAGCAGTTTTACTACATAAACAGTCATCTTACTCCTGCAAAGTTTTTTCCACTACAAGTTCCAAAACATCTCCCATCCCTTAAAAATGTGTGTTCTCCAGCTGTTTTATTCTGCAGAACGCACTCCAAGCGACTCCAATTCTTTCCATCGGGTACTATCAACTGCATCCAGCACCACAAGCTAACGAACTCGTTATACTCCATATAACAGGACAGAGACCAAAATGACTGTACGTCTAAAACAACAAATAACTTCATAGCACAAACTGTGAAACTTCTAGATGCCGTCAGCGATTTCGCCACAACGAGCAAGGAAGCACGACCACGCGAGGAAAGGGAACTTTGACGACGTTCCTTGCTCAAGAGCTGACGTCAATGCAATACTGAAATCAGTTTACTGCTCCTCATGCCTTAGGCGCTCCATAGCTGGGGAGCGGGGAGAAAAAGGAAAATATGGGTTCAACTTGCAGACAGCAGATCTACAATAGTGGTAAGAAGCCTGTATGTATGGCTTTCGAGTCAGACAGAAGTAGTCTATTAGTGAAAGAAGAAAAATTTTTAACTCTCTATCTAAAACCAAAGGGTTTTTTCCTTACCTGTATTCAGCTCCCCATCCTTTAACAAAACTCATTCTTATGGTACACATTCTAGTAAGCTGATAAACTGCTTCAAAACCCTGATTCACAGATTGAGCCAGAAGAGCAGCAAATTCTTGGTTATTAAAGATTTTTAGATTGCATCCTATAAGGGAAAAAAAAAAGTCAAAAGGGTACAATCAATGAATACTCGTGTTTGCTCACAGAGGCCCGAAACTACAAAGAAACTATCAAAAGGAAAGCAAATGCCACCCTGTGAATACATTCACTGGATAGTTTTACACGAGACCTTTGGTAGGCTACGAACCTGGTGGAATTTTGCACACAGTTGCAGGATGCCAGCCGTATCTTTGATTACAGTTGGGGCTTTGAACAAAAATCGCGCTATCGCTTAGGCACTCAGCAAAAACTTCTCCACCGATGTAATAGAGACGTACTCCCCTCCCTGCAGCAAAATTCAAACGAACTCTAGTTATGGCATGACCCAAGCAGATTAACAAACAAGGCAATATTTTTTTTTCCAGAGAAGGCCAAGGTTCTTCAGAAACCTTCAACAGAAATCTATTATCTACAGGACCACACTGCTGGACTGACAGCTGCAGCAGGAGCAGAACACAATTAACTTGCATTTTTCCTCCATGAACGCACAATATTTGAAGGAGATGCAGAATAATTCTTGGTCAAGAGCGAGACAGAATTTTTGAAGCCATGTAACAGCTTGTAACCCGATTCAAGTTAGGAAGCAGTGTCCATTATCAAGTAACTTTTGCTTAAAGAAATGCTAAAATTGAAATAAAAAGACTAGATTCAACAGAATTAAAACTTGTGCTAGTATTAAAGTGTTGTATGTGGCAGAGGCCACTGTGGTATACTTGTGTTTTCCTTTTTTGCCACTTCAACGCTTGGCTTGCATGCGCCCACACTACTTCACAACCCACTCCACACTCCTCCTCTGTAGTACTTTGACAAAAACAACAGGACTTCGTTTAGCCCCATGACAAAAAAATACCATAAGAAATCCTATTGTTCACTTTCAAATTGTGATCTTGTTCTCTCTCTGAGTCGAAAATAATCTGTATGGGTTATTTCTAGCAGAAGTAAGATAAGTAACATACAATCGATCTCCCACAGAAAACTATTTATAATTAACACGTCCTTTAAAGGCCACAGCTTCTCTTCTCCTCTTTCTTTAAAACTCTTTTTCAAACAAAATGTGAGCTGCTCTATAAAAAAAAAAAAAAGGGAGAGCTCCTTACATCTTCCTCATCACCAATCTTTTTGATCAGTCAGTACAGGCACAGCCTGGGTTTCTGCACACCTAAAGTTTTATTCGACAAGCACGTGGACTTGGCACAGAGGGAGCCAGAAGGTTCTACTAAACAGGTTGAACTTTTTTTAATAAAAGAAGAAGAACAACAAAAAAAATCTCATTAATATTGCTAAATAAAAGAATCCAGGGGAAAAAAAATGTAGCTTACTAAAGAACTTAAAGCCAAGATGCTGCACTGCGGAAAACAGTATTCTTTACTAACCATTACAAAGAAAACACACTGTTTTGGCACGATGAGATTATCTCAATGGCAGTTTTTCCCATTTTAGAAAAGAACTCATGAAGTACTAGTCATGTCCATTCTGCATTTTATAAATTAGAATAAACTAAGCAACACGTTAATATTTTGTAATTAAAGCTTCAACTTCAATTATAAGCAACTCTGAATATAAATGCTACCCAGGGCATAGTGGTCCAACAAGGAGCCTGAAAGCTAAAAACCTGCCCCTCGGGATGCTTTGGTGCATCATCTTTTTCCAGAAGGCAGAGAACAGCAACATGAGCAACAGAAATCCCACACAGCTGAGAGGCTTCCTCCAGTGCTGCTCGCAGCCTGACAGCTGTGTGACTGCTGCTGCCGCCAACTTACGGACTCCTGATTAGGGAAAGGCAGCTCCTTCCAGCTCCAGCCGTCACTACATGTCTTTCCAATTGCAACTGGCTGTGGAAGCAGAAGCTGCTACATTTCTCCCTGATTTCAGAAGTGGTGATCTCTGCGCCCTCCCAATTCTGTCCTTAGCAAGAGAGACCAAGCTCTCCTTGGCAAGCCTTGAAAGAGTTCAATGGCTGGCTGCACAAGGGTGAAAGGATCCCATCACACAGATCTGCCCATCCTACCTGGATCATTCCAGATAATTTAGTGGCTAAAATGAAATTAAATAGTTAGAAGACCAGAGATTTTTACCTATGTGTCTCCTTGTCATTTCCACTGTAGCATTTCTGTTTACATTGGAAAGCAGACCTAGACAAAATCGTTCTGAATTTGATGGATCTGTAAAGCCATCTACGGTCAGGGAAGGCTGTGATGCATGGAAGGTTTCTCCCACTCTTTGATTCAATTCATAATATGCTATTGAACACCAAAACGCAGGCTCCGAGTAAGTAACTGGCTGCAAGTCTAAAAAAAAAATTAAAAAATAACCTTAACACAGAATTTGAGGCTGAAAAGAAACCTATCTGCCCTGCTATTCGTCTCTTCCAGAAATGACAACTCAAATTATATTTTGCTTGCTGTCATTTTCACCTACCCTGGTAAACAGAATGGAATTCAATATTCCACACAAGGGAAGGAGGAGGGGAAGAAGGGGTGATCTAATCTGACCACAGCTCATGTACTTCAGTACTTGCATTTTGCTCGGCAATGATTAAGCTAATGTTACTGTGAGTGCCAGACGTTGAGACACTTCTGCTGCCTCTCTACAACTTGCAAACATTTTGGCAACACTAAAGAAAAGATGAAACTATCAAACACCGAGCCACACAAAGGAAAAAAAAATATTAATATGAAAATGATGTTCCCTTGTATTACGCTGGATCTTATACCGTCTCTTTATCTAAAGGCAGCTTGAAGCTACTTTTACTCTGCCCTACTAGAGCTCAGTACCTTCCCCTTCCCCATGCATCTTCAGCTTTTCCTCCGTTGCTTCCCCTTTTTACCTACCCTAATTACTTACTCAGTGTTCCGAACAGCATTTTCCTGTCACATACTGTCACCATTCTTTCAACAAACGCAAGGGAATCTGATCTTCCCCAGGCATTTATACAGACACAGCCGTGGCACCTGATCAAAGCAGGTGGGCCACTAATGTGGGAGTAACAATCATGTTGTGGTCACAAGCGAAGCAGTACATGAGAAGAGCAGCAGAACACATACACAAGGGAGACAGCAAGTCTGGGCAGCACTACAGATAGGCTAATGTCCTTTAAACTATTTGTTTTATAAATGCTACCCCTGCACACACAAACATATTATGCTTTCTCTTTGCTAGAAGCTCAACAGTTACAGAAACAGTTATTAAAAAGTTATTAACCCAGCCCTATTACATTTATCATCAGGAAGCCAAGCCATAGTCTCCTCCTAATATATCTCTTACTTTTTTTTTTAAGTACATGTTCATTTTTAATGTAATTATATATATAAAGAAGAGTCATCACACACAGAGAAACAATTAGAAGTATTTCCAGCTTACCCAAGCTATGATTAACTGGAGAGAGAGTACTAGGAGACAGCTCTGCTGGAGATCCTGTTAAAGCAATAGAGATTGTTTTAGAGCAAATGATTCTTGTTGTTTCAGACGGGTAGGTATGACCCACTATCTAGATACAGTTTTACATTAAAATTCTTTGGAGTAAGAAACCTCAGAAATCCTACAACCAGTTTTCCAGCGTGTCACATGCTTATTCTGAATTAAGATTACATTTAATTTTCTAGACTCCTGGGAATCCACCCCTCCTCGTAAAGACTCAATTAACATCTTAGTGTGGTATTTGTCACAGCTCTCACCTCATGCACATTCTGTGAACGTAACTAATTATGCACTTGATCAGTGAGAAGGTAGTGACGACTTCCCAAATTCAGTGGAAAAAAAGCTAAGAAAAAGTGGATGAGACAATCAAGGTGTTACCTCTCTACTTTCAAAGGAGAGGGTTTATCTCTAGAAAAGAACAAGCTGAATTTCCTCATCTGAGGAAATCATTCTTTCCTGGAAGCAGGAAGGAAAAAACCTCAGAAAAACATCAAGTTTCCAACACAATTAGCACAGTAGTAGGCAAAATACAGGCAGACTTTGCACAGGAACATTCCTACAAGGACTGCTGATGTCCAGCTTTTTTAATTAAGGTACTTACTGTCACATAGTGGGAAAATATTGCAGTTCTTACAGAAACTGGTGCAGTTGATTCCAATTAACTGAAAAAGGTTGCTAACATGAGCTAATCAAACACACACGCAAGTCTGCCAGCACATAGCAGGAGGTTCTTATCCAGCACACTAACTGTGTTTTGTCCAAGTCTAAGGCCAACCAAATTATCTAGAAACCCTTTCATTCAGAGGCACAAATGCTTAATGTTTCTACCACTCTTTCAACAGAGCCTTCCACACAAGAATTAATTCGGAACATGGCAGAAGTGATGAGGTTGTCAGAGTTCAGAGACAGGTTCTCAAAATGCAGCATTTCTGTAACTTGTTTAGGCCAACAGACATTTTGCTTCAATGAACCTGTTGCCAGAAGGCAAAGTTAGGGGTAGACTCAAACCCGTCAGCTATTAAAATCTATTTTAAGGCTTTCTGATGAAGACTTAATTAGGCCTGTATGCTTTTGTTATGAAACAAACTAAATGTTCTTAATATGGCACAGAACGTTTTAAACGCATTCCCCTAGCAAAAAAAAATTATTTTGTTCACAAAAGACTGAAAGTGATACTTTAAACAGAAAACACCAGGTTGTCCAGAGGGCTTCTGCCTTCATCGCTCAGGATGAAATCATGCCACCATGCAGAGGAACCAGTAATCTCAAGTCTTCAAGGTAGTGAAAATCAAAATTTTACCTGTATCCATGCTTTGGTTCAACTGCTGGTCACTCGTTTCTCCATCTTCACTGATATATCCTGGAGGTGGTGTTTCTGTCAAAAAAAAAAAATCCACCTATTGGTTCAACGACTGGGGAAATTTGTAAGATTTATTAGCACTCAGGGTTTTTGTCCTCAAGTCTTCACAATGATACCTGAACACTGAATTAGAATTTCATTTTGCTGTCCCTTTTTCCTTCCAGTAGGACTTCAAATCCATTACCTGCCTTGTCGTCTAGGTAAAATATATCGTCTCTTGTAAGCCAGTCAATTGCTCAAATATCTTATATAATTAACAGATAACTCTTGTTTGTTCCATTTAAGACAAGATACTTTCACTACAATGAGTAACAATTTTGCAATTGTGATCAACAGCTTTCACATTTAGTAGAATTACAAATGAAAAAAAACCATCTGGTGACTTCTACAGAGCAGTAGCTGTCTTTATGTAGCACAACCATCAGATCAGATACCCTCCCACACCTTATAGAAGTTGCCAGATTTAAAGGTTATTTTTCAGTTCAGTCCCCAAATCCATTTTCCTTCAACACCCAACGATTTCACTCATTAATGATAACTATATTATCTAACTAGTTACACTGCACAAGCTCTATTATTAGTAGTAATTCCAAGTTCTATTAAAAAAGTCATCTATCTTTTAACTAGCTTGCTTTAAAAACGGAGTTTCACAAACCAAAGTAAACTCATTAACAACTCTGGAGCAATCTGATACTAGAAACTGTGTCTAATTCCACAGAAATATCTTCAAAACCCAGAGGAGTACGGTTGTTCCTCTTCCCCATTCAAAATGCACTTTGTAATCCAGATAATGAGTTAACCAATTGCCTTCCAGGAAATAATTTTCTTTGAACTGGGCAAACGTCTTTTCCTATACATTACAGGTAAAACCTGGATTTCTTTAGTGAAAGCATTTGAAGCTAACCACCTCCACGATTGCCTTGGAATTGTCTGAGATATCTGAGGGATTAAACGCATTTAATTATATTATTACCAAACAGCAGAAATTTAAAGAGAAAGCCTTTTGCTTAGAATGAAAATCAAATTATATCAACTACCATGTCCGAGATTTTCAGCAATATAGTAAGATCAGAAGGAAGTCAGTGAGAGGAAACTAGACGAAGTCAGTTGACCAAATAAAAATGAACTGAAAGAACGCTATCTTCGGTTGATTCTGTAAAACTAGTGTGCTAAAACAGATGCGACAAAATTCAAGTGAGAATTCAAAAGGAAGATTAAGGGAAATCTTTATTAGCAAGGAGTATGACGTCAAAAATCATACTTGTTTCGAACATTTCTATAGAATTCACTGTGATAAAGTGGACTCCACCCATCTCAAACTCAGTCGTTACAGTTAAACCCACAGCCATGGTAAAAGGTCAATAACCATTTCCAATCCAACTCAATCCACGCCTCCTGTTTCCAGCTGCTAATCTAGGCTCTTTGGCACAGATTATTTTCCGTACCTAGTCTCTGTCTGAACAGAGAAGATTTCCTCCACCTAGTACTACTAATACTGTTTTAGAGTCAGAGGTTGAGCACCACCACAGCTGGAAATAAATTCCCAAGTGCAGCATTAAAAATTCTTAGCAGAGCTTGAACGCTGCCAGGAGTTTGGACAAGGCAGCTTAGCACACCCGCAACCTGAAAGGGAACATACAGCCCCGAAGCCCACCCTGCACCTTCACAATCACCGTCTCCCCAGCTGTAGGTAAAACCAACCTCTCTGTACACCAAGCACAGAGACAAGTATTGAGATGCAAAACGAGCAGGGTTGTCAGTCTGTCCGACCGCTAAAGAAAACAGTTCTCTGAAGCAGGCTGCCGAGACACACAAGACTTTCCAGAACCCAGCTCAGTATTCAAGATTAAGTTAACAAGGTCAAATAAAGTAAGATGTCATGATATGAATACAACAGGGGAGTGTAGCGACAAAGAGGAGGTGGCAAGGTGTGGTTAGCTGCATAAATATTTGCAGATCACGTGAATACCCGCAATCACCTTGAACAGACTTCCTGCAAACAACCACCTAGTGGCTGTAGCTCATTTCCATAGCACTGGATTTTCAGATGGTGGCTTTCTGGTAAGTTGTTTGCAAATGCTATCAAAAGCCCACAGATTGAGTCAAAAAAAAGTATACACAAGTTAAGAAAGCAACACCAACTTCTAGCACCTTAGATGGCTCTTTAAAGATGTGCTGTTCCTAGGTGGCCACAAATGTGGCCCAAATTAAACAGATGAGGTCAAATTAATTGAAATTTTTTATGGTGCTGTTTCAATTCTTGGATGCATTTAAAGAAAACATAAGCAACATCCTGTTTAAGGCATGTAGATGCAATTTGCACATTGCACATATTTGAGTTTCAAGGCAGTCATCCTATCCTTCAAGAGAGACCAGATCTGAATTTTCAGCTTGTTCTTAACGTAGCTGCATTAGACATTTATGAGAAAACTTCAGCTTTGCTTGGGTTTACGCTCCAGGCAACTTCCTGAAGAGACAGGAGACAGGAAGTTGGGGCAGGAAACAAAGGTCACCGATTTTATGTTTCAATAGGGGTACAGGATTTTGGGTGCACTGGAGCAGATTAGTTTTGGTATTTTATTTCGGGGTGTGGAAGAGGCAAAGAGGAGGAGGAGGAATTCTCTAGGAGTTCAATATTGTTAGGTTGTTCTTTAATACTAAAAAGACAAAACTGTATGCACACAATAGTAAGAAATACACAAAGCAGACCTTGACTGATTGTGAATTACAGATCGAAACACTTTTTAAGTCACTATTCTGCAACTTAAGTTTTCTCCACATACTACACGTGGTGAGATTGAGCAGCAGTTCACTACTCAATCTCCAATACACAGCATTTAGCAACCCCTGCATGTTTGTAAAACAGCCTTAAAGCATAAGGTGAAGGTCTACTTTGTACTCATTAACATTCTGAAGCTTAAATAAGCTACTGAAACCAAGTAAGCTATTGTGAAACCACAGCAATGTGGTTTTACACAGCATCATGTTCTGCAAACAATACTGTTCAGGCATTTCCACTGGAATTAATAAATGAAGTCAACTAGATTTAATTTATTGGTGCATCTTTCAATTAATTTGATCTCTTAGGAGGATGAAATTGCCGTCTTTGTTCCAGCGGCAGAATGTTAAGTGTACTGCTTGTGGTGGGAGTTAAGAAAATACCTGGTATGTAATTGCTCTGTGGTTCAATTCCAGCTGGAAAGTTAGTGTTTTCAGGAATGGAATGGGTATAGTCATCGAGAGGTGGAAGCTCCGTTAGAATCTCAGTGTGCCGTGGCACTAGTACAGGAGGCAAGACTGGAAAAGCAAAATTCAAAGCATTAGTAAGACCCTCAAAATACACCGTTCTGTGAGGTAAAAAGGGGAGGGGGGGGAAAGGGGAAACAAAAAAAAAAAGGAAATTGCTAGATGTTTTAGATTTTAACAGGTTTTGAAATGTTCTGACTCTCTGCACTGCTAATATTGCAATTGTACTGCTAGTTACTAGAAGAATCAGATTCCTGAGGTGCCTTTTGAGTAAGACTGTTCCGTATTAGCAAAGGTAAGTCATCTCTAGTCCCCTTTTCAGTCCGGACTGCACTTAGCTAGCTGGAAACTGCTAGCAGTACTGGAAGTGTTTATCAGGGGTATTCAACACATTTTAACAGTAAAGATACTGAAAAGTCTTTACAAAACTTCCAGGAGGTGGTATTCTCAAAAGCTGTATCTCTAAGAATCTTGTACTTTTGGCAAGAGAAAGCATCGCCTTTCTCTATTTTCCATCTAAGACATTATGCTGAACAAGTGCACACAGATGCTGCTGTACAAAGTCAGAAGCCGTCTTCCTACCTGGTGTCTCCACTCTCTGGTAGTGGTAAGGGTTTACACATACTTCATCCTTTTTAAGATTAAAAGCATATTCACAGTTTTCAATTGCTTTAAGTTCATGGTGACTGTGAAGATCTGGCCAGCGCCACAAACGACAGTAAATGACATGTGGTAATCCTTTACGATGAGATACCTGTAGACGGCCATCGAGAGATCTATAGGGGAAAGATGTTGAGAAGTATTTACAGACTGCATGCTGTCTCTTAATCACTCAAGCAACAGTTTACACACATGGGATAGGTAGTTTATTTATTCTTGGAATTCAGTGGAGTGACACTGTTAGTGACATTTATAGTCTTGTTAAAAAGCTTCAAATATGATAAAAATGATGGTATCAAGCAGTGTCTTAACTTATTTTTGAGATGCTCAAATTATTGCCAGTGAATTTAGAGTTCATTAAAAGCCACTTTACCTCCAACCAAGTATTTAGGATGATTGCTTCATATAAATTTTTTTAAATGCAAAAGACAGTTGTTGAAAAAAGAATAAATAAAAAAATCACACACTTAATAGTCCCTTCCACTGCTAAACCTCAAGGCTTTGCTGTGGCATGGATGCTTTATGGCTTTAAGCATAAGGTTTCCCACAGGACTGCAAATAAGCCTATAAGCAGTCAGCTGCCCAAGTGATCCACACAGCAGTATAACTGTAATGCAAAAAGCATGAATGCACATCTTGTAAGGGCTATACAGTTTATCTTCTTGACTTTGTCTGCCTTGCTACCAGCTGAAAACGTTTTGCTAGTTTTAAGACAGACTGCATATGCTTACACAAATGCAGATGTTTATGACTGTTATGGGATGGGAGACAAACCTCAATACACAAATCAAGTAATGTGACATGAAAAAATAAAGAACCTGTTTAGAATTTGCCCATCATTAACTACTGAAGAATTTACAAGCAATTCTTTGGTAGCTCGTATCTGAGCCAATTAGCAAGATTTAATTGAAAGCTTGTGGCATACAAAGCAGTTTAAACACTTTGTAAGATTAGGTCTAAAGAATTAAGTTTCCCAACTTTATTAATATAAATACCAAATCACATTAGAGCTTGCATTTAACTCAAGTCTTCCCATTCTTTAAATAGCACTGGCGTGAAAAAGGAGTATTCCAGAATTAGAGTTTCATTGGTCAAAACATCAGCTGAGAACACTTGGATTTCTACACTGGCAAGCAAATATTTTAAAATGCTGTACCACGAGAGGCCTAGGAAGCATTTTAGTCTATTTTACAGCTAAAGCATCCCATTACAGACCCTCCAAAGCCAATCCCTCCCACAAGATTCCTATGATGCGAGAGAGGGCAGAATATTCACCTGGTTTGTTCAGAGAAGCTGTAAAGGCCTGTTGTATCCCACTGATCTATCGTGTTTGGTGTACTCAGTCCCCAAATTTCAGAGCAAGTGCTGTGCATAAATTGAAAACAAAAACAAAAAATTGATATGAATATGGAACATGGTTATTCAAAACACCATGATGTCAAACATGGAAAAATGTACAGAATACTTCCTTTCACATAGAAGATAGAGCATTCTTAAACTTGCATTTAAACTGACATCTCATGCTATATTTTCTATATGAAGGAGGCTATCAAAATGGAACATGTGATTCAAGGTAAATGGTAATGTTTTTAAAAGGTGAACAAGTTCTCTGGTTTTAAGTAGTCAGTACAGTTGCAATGTTCCTTAAAACAGGCAAAACTTCCTCAGCCTAGCTCTTAATAAAATAAAATTTTTAAGGGTAGTTTCTGGGTTGTTTTTTTTGGTTTTGTTTGTTTTTAAACATAAGCTTCCCTAAGACCTCAAACAAAGGCCATGTGTATCTGAAACTGAACATCACAGTTTTACTTTCAGCTACCACCACTTAAGCAATAATCTCATTCTCACATAGTAATCTGCTGCTTTTCCCAAACCAGGAAAATTCGGACCTTCAAGAAGCACATCGTAGCTGATACTTCTCACTGTGTTATGTGCTCTCCTTGACTAAAGAACTAGATGTTCTTTTCCACTGTATACAAAACACAGAATGTTTAACAGTTTTACAGTACAGTATTTCAATACTTAACTATAGAATAACAAAACTTTAATGGCTAAATCAAGCAGGAAGAAATGACAGACTACTAATTATTTACTAAACTGGTTCAATGACAAGTAAAAATGGCCTTCACAAGCACAAACTAAAAGCAGCAGCAGATTTAAGCAAAGCAAGAAAACAGCATGGGCTTGTAAATGGGAAGCAGACTCAGACACATAAATCAAACTCAGCTCTATCATAGACTTGCTCTGTGACCACTGAAAACTGTTTGTTTTATCACACACCTAGACTTCGCACCTCAGAAATTAAGAGAATTTGGTTCACAAGAAACTTACATCTCCACTTCCTAACTACAAATCCTGAAGTTTGACTTGCTGCTACATTACCTTTAAAATTAACAACCCCTGAAAAGTCGCCACAGAAATAAAAGAACACAAGTTCACCAAACTCCTGGTTTTAAATACAGGTGTTGTGATTTAAATTTAAACTGAGCTTAGCTGACACACTCAAAAGTTTGGATTAAGTGCTTAAGGGAAGAGAAGTGAGGTAGGTATTTTTAATTCTCCTCCCTGTACAGAGAAAATTCATTAGTGTTACGAGACAAAAGAGCAGACAGCACAGCACTGTACTTAAAACCACTGTCAGGGCTGACAATCACCTCAATTCCACAATGACTTTAACAAAACCTAAGTGCAGGCTACTGATGAAGGGAATGAACTGTTCCTGTCCCTTTCTTGCCTGTCCCACACGCCTCATTTCTAACGCCATCCCAGAGAGGCTGAATGTCCATGTAAATTTTGTTTCTGAGCAGCAACCCAAATCACTAAACTGGCTATCTGACCACAGGACATACACAGCTGAAAACATACGTTTTGAGAGTTACTTTTCAGCCAGATCAGTTCTTCTATTCACTGTGAAGCTACACAAGCTCTACAACGGAGGAGCGAGAGGGTAACAAGCATGAACTGGAGCACAGGAGGTTCCTTCTAAATGTCAGGAAAAACTTCTTTACTCTGAGGGTGGCAGAGCCCTGGAACAGGCTGCCCAGGGAGGCTGTGGAGTCTCCTTCCCTGGAGATGCTCAAAACCTGCCTGGACATGATCCTGTGTGACCTGCTCTGGGTGACCCTGCTTTGCCAGGGGGTTGGACTAGATCATCTCCAGAGGTCCCTTCCAGCCCCTGCCGTTCTGTGATTCTGAGAGTGTAATTTTGGGCAGCAGCCTGCATTTATCGAAAATAAAAAATGTTAAATAAAATACAGCCTTTGACATTTTACTAACTACAGACCCAAGTAAAATCTTATACTAGGTGACACTTTGTCTAGTAGAGAGCAGCACAGAGCCACATGCAAAGGCCCACGCTCTGATATGCATCCAGCTCTTCAAAAGAGCCAACTGTTCTGGAGAAGTTGCATCCATCTCTTACACAGGCAGCATCACAGCTCTCCAGAAGAAGTGTGCCAGAGAGGGATACTGACCATCACTGCATCAGTAGAGCCTGCAGCCTCTCTTTTTCATATCCTTAAGATGCCCCCAGGACAGTGGGCTGCCAGAAGCTGCGTAAGGACTGAAATAGTTGACCTGAAAACACAGAGGTAGCCTGTGGGACACCAGGGAGCAACCCTACACTGTGCTGTGTCCTTAAATACGCACCACTACTGCTGGTCAAGACAGATCATCACGCACATTAAATTAGAAGAACCATCAGTAGACACAAAGCCTGCTGTGTATTAATTGACGCAGTCAGCTCTGACAGCTTACTACCTTTGAGCAATGGATCCTTTACTCAAAGCAGTGCTCCAAAACTAATGCTGTCACACAGAATACATGTTCCCAAAATTGGGGGGTGCATCACTGGTGTAAGCATGACATGCCACGCATTTGCTTCACAAGACTTAAGACAGCACATGTAAAAGTAAAATTTCAGAGCCCTTGACAAAGCACAATGAACAGGAACAGCGTTTTACGTTGCTAACCTCTTCTCTCTAAAAATATTCAAACTATCAAAGCTGACAGCATATTCCACAACCTACAGAAAGACAAAGAGTATCTTGAAGTGACTGTGTGACGGAGCCATAGCTCACAGTGAAACTCAGGACACCATGGAGGGAGGGCAGGCCAGGAGGTACAGAAATAGTGATCAGTTAGAGCAAAACTGCTCCAATATTCAGCAGCTTACATGATATGCTGTCTTCCAGGGTGTACATCTACTTAGAGCCGGGATTAATATTAATGCTTTACTGGCTTATCTATACTAGGACTATACTCCAACTCCAATAATCCACAATCAAATGCTGAAAAGCCTGCAGGAAAATCAGCCCCTATGATCAATAAAGTCAGCTCAACACAGCTTTTACTGTTCACTGGAAGAAACATCTGAGGAAATAAAGTTATCTCCCCACTCTCCTGCTCACATAAAAGACCCACTGACTAAAAGATGCAAGACCGTCCCCCCACCATGTCACCCAGACAGTAAACCAGGGCTCTTAATATTCACACACACGCACACTAAGTCAGAATGAAATTCCTCGCCACCATAAAAGGCACACTTCATACACAGCACTGCCTTGAAAGGCCACAGTGTGTTCATTCATACACAAGCAATAGCCTGACGCAAGGCAGACACACCTACTCATCCCAGAAAAGTGGTGGCTGGAAAGAAGGCGACTGCATTCTGAAAGATGTTTGAACAACCACTAAAACCATCTAAAAGGGAGACAGGAGGTACAGACTTTTTAGAAGAACAGAATTACTGCCCCAAAATAAACACGAGGCATCCTCTCCTAAACCTACCCTTCTGAAGCGTCCTAAACCCCTTGTGATGTGATGTGTCCTTCTACGCCTTAGTCCATAAAGAATTCAGAAGAATCAAGGACCAACACCTGTACTCGTAAGGAGTCTTGTCTGGAAACACTCCCAGGCCTTGAACACGATTGTGTATGCTAGAAAGCAGCTAGGACATTCCCTAGAACCGCACCGTGCCAACTACTGCTCTCCCACACAATTCCCAGGTTTGAGAGTCACACACTATCGGGACCACTCGCTCTGGGCAGTTCAGATGCGGCCACCCTGCCCTGGTAGCTAAGAGTTTAAGAGTACGGATGAGGCAGTCCTGAGCCAGTTGGCCACGGTGCCTGGGAACATTCCCAGGCACGTTTAATTCATTAGGAGAGAGGCAGCCAAGACCTATCACCATTTCACCTTTAGTAAGCAGACTGCCCGCAAACCCGAGTCTAGAAGCACACCTCGGGCTTCATGTTTTACTAAACAGCAGTTTTTGGTTTTGAAATCGCTCTGTACTGCGGCACTGGTAAGCCATCATTGTTTCCAAAATACCATTTGGCTCCTGCATCCAAGTTGTACTTAGGTCTTTCCTGTGTAGACAGCACTTAAATATACTCTGAAATACAAGCTTAAAGCTAATATACTTCCTCCCACCAGAGTGGATAGTTTTTATTCCAAGGAACATTTTCATTGCTATTCTCAAAACAATTTGTCTGTTGACAGAAACAAGGTCAACTATACAAAAGCTAATGTTTTTATCTTTTCAACACTACCTTAGATGAGCAAATCACCATGTTCTGCGGCCTCTAGCACTCGCAGAGCAAGCTTGCTTGAATACTAGATTGCTGCATTTTGCAGACCCCACAAAATAAGTGACTTTATTGTAAGGGACTTCAGGGATATAAAGCATCCAATTGGCTCAGTCTCCCAGGTGTTCTGAAACCCTTAACAAAAGAAAACCATTTCCTAGAGAAAGGAGAAATGCTCAAAGGATACTTGCAAGGAGTAACAACTACTCTTTGAGACCCAGGGATTTTTAGGGGAAAGTCACAAGTCTAGCAGACTGGTAGGTTAAGCTGCCACACTAAACCTGGGACAACTGAGTCCCGCAATTCCTATCTCGGGACTGACCTGAGAACTGATGTGGTGCAGAAAGGGTCAGACTGGTTATTACTGGGTGGAATCAATGCTACTTCTGTCACAGCCTTTCCTTAAGTGGAAAGGGTTGCAAGAGTTGGTGTTTCAACCTGAATTTTCATCTGCTTATAAAGAGCAGTATCTTAGATGATATTGTACAATTCTGGCAAGAAGAATCTTTAATGTGGCTATCAGCATGCAGCAGCACACAGTATGCCTTCACTTCTTCCATTTCATCATTTCCTTTAACAGGAAAATCTGAGTTCCAAAAAAACCCTGCTCTGGGCAAGAAATTACCTAAACAGCAAAGAGCTGTAGCAATGCTTCACAGTTTTGAGACAAAGTGCCAAAACTGCCTTTCTTTAGTAAGACACAAAATACTGACACACATTAAGAAAAATGTGGACACAGAAAAAAATCTAAATATCAAAGACAACCAAGAAATACTTGTA